CCACCCATACCATGTGAAATATCTGCAACACCAACGACTTTCAGGATTACAAGAGCATTTCCGACCATGTCCGACAAAGCAGGAAATTCGGGGACTCTTCTTGAGGTGAGCCCCACCAAATTTTCCCAAGAGGTCAAACCAACTAAACCCAAGTGGGAGCTGATAACAAAGTTTGAACCTCCCAGTAACCAGGGTTAATCAATTTACTGATAAAGGCATTTTGAGTATGAATTGACAAGGTTAAGATTCGAACCCAGTTTGAACTAGTCAGCTTTCATTAAGATAGATTTATTAGTTTAACTACTATAACTCGGCGTCATCCACGTAGATCTCGGTCTATACTTATTATGACGCGAACAGTGGCACACAGCTGTGCCAAACCGGCTACAGGCCGCTTCGTGTCACGGCTGTGCGGGGAAGCGTCTTGCGCGAACTGGCCACCTGCAGAGAACCGGCCACCTGCAATGTGCTGCACATTTTTTGTGATTCCATAACCGGCTACACGCGAAATAAAACTATCGGTTGTGGTATTTAAGAAAAATCAAGTAGTATTTGGTCCCAACATTTATAACTTAACAATGAAAGATTGTGCTGCGCGTTTTAACAATAATCAGTTTTTGTCTCTCCTGTAAAATTTGCCTTTCTGCATGTAGCCGGTTTGTGAATCCCATCCACGAAATACATTTTGTCAACAATTTTTGGGGAGGACAAACAAGAAGAACTACAAGGGAATTAGTCTTCCAACATTTAAAAAAATACATCCACATATCTTCGGCCTTGTGATAAAACCGACTAACCCCAGCGGGGAAAATTTTACAGGAGAAAGAAAAAACTGTCTTATCTTTAAACAAAGCTTTCTAACGGTAAATCAATGCTTTATACACCTATAAAAACACTTTACCAAAAAAACTGTAGACCTTTTTTTCCATTTAAAAAAAACTTTAATGAAACTGCGTGGGTTGGACAGTTATGTCGCTCAAAATTTTCCGGATAAAACTGACCAACCCTCAAGTTTGTGGGTTGTCCTGTTTTATCAGCTGGCCTTGAGCGCAGCCAAGATGCACTTGCTGGTAACGTATTTGATGTGTTGTTTCAATCGCCATGATCTTTGGTGTTACATGTATCATCATCGTCATCATCATCATCATCATCATCAGGAGGAGGAGGAGGAGGAAGGGAAGAAGAAAAAGAGGGGGAAGTGGAGGAGGAGGAGGATAAGGAGAAAGAGGAAAAGGAGAAGGAGGAGGAGTAAGAAGAAAAAAAAAGAAGCGAAGGGAGAGGAAGAGGACAATTTTATCGCTACCACCATACTATCAGCTGCTGTCATTTCAGTGCTACATTTGAAGTAAAAGAACAGGAGGTTCAAATGGTAAGGCCTAGGGAGAGCAGCTACAGCAACAACAACAACAACAACAACAACAACAACAACAACAACAACAACAACAACAACAACAACACTAGTAAGAGCAGCAGTAGGCCTTTAAGATTTATGACAACGTCTGACAGGGTACTATTGACACTGGGTGGTCATTCAAATGCCTGGAAAAAGTAATACTAAGAAAGAAATGAAAGCAGAAAGCGACACAAAAGCTCCACTACCTCAGCAATGGTTTGAGTGAAGTTGGTTACATAATAATATATTATTATTATTATTATTATTATTATACAAAAAGAGACTGTAAGTATCAAAGAATACGCCAACTTTCTTCAAGGGGCGTGGCTTGACAACCGCTACTTTATTGGGTTTTCTCAACAATATAAGAGCATGTCTGTCTCACTCTGTGTCCTACTGCTATAACAAGGCAATATGACAAAAAGGCATCGTTGTTTTGAAAGACTGTACACCAATCAAATTTGACTTGATCGCTTTCAAAGCTTCTTAGAGAGACAAAGTGTCATAGTAATTGTCGTAGCATTGTGATACAACAGCCTTCAGCTCCTGTAGATGCTTATACTGGCTAGCAGTTCTCTTCAATCTGACTTTGTAGAGAGGTCCAGCAGTAACTGTCGTACACAGGGTGTTCAGCTTTCTTGGTCCTTGCAGCACCTACCATTCATCATCAAATTTCAGCTTGTACTGAATTTTAAAGACTGGAGTGTACTTCGATGCCTGCAAGTCAGTGACAGAAGCGTTGCCTGGTTTTCTCCCTGGGCGGATCGTTTAATACTCTCCGACCTTTGCAAAATCTTCGAAAACGCTGTGGTCCAGGTACATAACTTCATAGGGCCTGGGGATGCGTCTGACTTGGAGAATAATGTTCACGAAGTCCACTGGGATGTAAATCAGTGCGTTATTTTTAGCGATCGCTCAACATTGCTATGAACTGAATCCTCCTCCATTTGGGTATGGCCCTTGGTGAGAATTTTGGCTCAACTGTGAGTGATGTCAAGCTCTTTGGCCAGCTAGGCAATTGCACTCACCAGGTTGGCATTCTGTTTCGGTAGTTGCACCCATCACTGTAGATGATGAAGTGGTTGAAGTCAGTCACTTGCGATCTGAGGTGAGTTAGACATGATGAAAACGGTTGGAGCTCAGACCACCTTCACTTTCACCCCAGATATATCATCTGACATCTCTGGTGGCAAGATCCTACATTGTAAAATTGTGTACAACCAGTTTTGTTTTATAATAATATAAGGTGGATGTCTTTAGTGATGGTGCCAGGAGGACGCACTGAATCTCCATACAAAGGACACACACTTTATTCTCTGGGTTCAGTGCAGCCTCTCTATCCTTCTTCTCTGCTCGAGCTGCAGATTTCCTCATATTCATATTTGATGAGCTGTGTATTCTGTTCCTGAGAGGTTTCCAGATTCGAAGCTAGTGCAAATGTCGCACTGGCCCTTCTTGATTGAAAGTAAACCCAAACTGTTTTTCTTGAACTTTTGGCAGAACACTTGATAGCTCAATGTTTTTTTCTGCCTCTTTGCACATAATTATATTTCTCCACATTCAACGCAGACCTGACGTGTTCTGGATTGTCATCTGTAGACAGGAGGGTACCTTTGAAAGTTTTTGTCAAAAAATTCCTCTCTATGGAACAACTTGTCATCCTTGGATCTCTCGTGAAGGGGATGAAGTGTTCTTTGGGGTCTTCTGTATTTTACTGAGAAGACACTTTAAATAAATCAGTGGGTCAGGACTGTAGCAGGAATTCTTCAACCATTGACTATTTTTAAGAGGTATTGAAGGGTGCAATTTCTTCTTGGATTTTCACTCGCTGTGTGAGACCTCTTTTTGTCTATCCTGTTTATCATGGCATACGTAGACACTCTTTTCCTTCCAAGAGAGTGACCAGTGATGTCATTGGATTTTGTACAAACCAATTTACAACTGCAACGGACATTAGGTTCACACCCTGCATGCTTTTTTCCTTGACATGTGTAAGGCATTCCCAGTTCTTTTAACCTCTTCCTTTTGTTACCCTTCCAATCGTTTTCATCCCGTGTCCTTTTTGCAGAGATCAATGGAGGCATAACGGCTGTATCATCAGCTGGTGTGACATTAGCCTGGTCATGCTGATTATTGTCCATAGCGCTGAGGGTCAGAGGTGATGCAGCAAGAGTGGCATTATCTTATGGAATGTTATAGCGTTATGTAAGTTAAGGTTTAATATAAGGATAAAGCATAATATTATGACACTGAGAAAATAATCTATACAAAACACAAACGAAATGAACTTTCAAATAAAGCTGAAAGATTTTTTAGAATGTAATGACTGCAATAAACACTGCACATGAAAAAAGAAGTACTTAAAAAAACAATGATGGTTGGGGGCGGATGGTGTGCTGGACAGGTACCACATTTTTTTCTCTGAGTGAGTTAGTAAAGAATAAAATGCCAACGACTTCGTCCATTCATTTACGAGGAAAAAAATGATTAGGAGAAGAGACAGTAGTTCGAATACGGGAAAATGCCTTCACAATTCGGTGACTTTCCAGTAATAATAATAATAAATAAATAATAAATAGCATTTGTATAGCGCATATCCCCGCTCAACAGCAGGCTCTATGTGCTTTTCACTATATTATTACCCCAGCAGACCATAGAACACTCCGAAACATTCTCAGCTTCCCGGGAAGCATACAGTGCAAGCTGCTGATTAAGCGCTCAAACACTAACAAACTGACAAGATCTTTCGAGTCTATAGCCGGGTACCCATTCCCACCTGGGTGAAGTGAGGAAAATTCATGTAAAGTGCCTTTCCCAAGGACACAACGTCGGGCCCCTGACGCGATTCAAACCCACGACCTTACGGTTGCGAGTCCGAGAGCCTAACCACTAGGACACCAACGCCACTAGTACAAAAACAAAGAAGAACATGGGGACAGAAAAAATAGTGTCATATAAAACAAAATCCATAAAGATGCATTTGCAATACCAGCATTGTGAAGACAGAAACAGTTCTGTGGGAACAGAGGGGAGTTTTAGTCATTAATAACATTATCAGCAGCACTAAAACGAAGAAAAAAGAGGAAACAACTAGATCTATTGAACTCTCCAAATAAAACCAACCAGAAATATAACACACATATACCTTTTTGGAGAGCTCCCAAGGTTACGTCAGCCAATGCTGGACTATCGAAGGTGTTAATCTCATGTCAAACGAAGTTCGGAGACAAGTCGGAGCCGGGGTTAGGCGGTAACATAGCATGTGGCCCCAAACTGTTAACGCGACAAAAACAGCCAACCCTCATTTCCTCCCTCGCAGGTGGGATAGTTGGAATTATCGGGCTAAAATCCGATGGATGCCAGGTTATACGGTTTTATTTCTATTGTTTTAAAGACATTTCTATACAAAATTCATGCGTCTTTAGTGAGCATATGAAATGGACAATTTACTATCGATAGGGCCAATTAAAATTTTTTTGATATTTTGTGGGCTAGTCGGTTTTATCACAAGGCAGATGATATGTTTCTTATGCAGCTGATCTAAATCTTCGCATACCATTCACCAATATATGAATGATATTTCACTTTTATTAAAAAAAACACTTACTTATTGTTTTGATTGACAGCCATTTTTTTCCCGTCCTTACAAAGTTCCACTGACTTTTGCTCACCGGACTGTTCTGTCATAACCTGAAGATAAAAAATGAGAGACAAAAGTGTTAATCCTCAGTTTCTAATCTTGTGTTTAAAGGTAGTAAATATTGATCAACTTATTGTAAAACTAAACCCAGAGGCAGAGTGAATATGTTTATCTTTTACCAACAGCTGGAGAATAAAGACACTTTTTAATTTTTTTTTTAATTCTCACCTCAAAGTGCAAGGAGAAGACAGCTTCGAACTCATCCTCCTCATCCTCTTCAAAGTCCAGCAGATCTTGTAAACCCCTGTTCACCACAGAGAGTACACTATGAGTATGCAAAGCAAATGGTTCAAGAGGAAAATCTACATATTTTTAAACTTAATATCAAAGGTAAAAAACATTGCAGTACACAAGAGTGACATTCCACAGAAGAACTGTGGCTAATGATTACAGTTCTGAAGAAACTCACTAAAAGAGTACTTTCCACATAACCTAATCCTATGCTATGAGCAGTAATTTGAAAACATTCAGTTTTGTTCACTAGAAATAAAAACCTCTCATTCACTCCATCATCACATGTTTGCATCTTCATGCTCCATGTGAAAATTCTTTAGCTCAGACTCAATTGCAATCATTGAGCCCCTACACTTAAAATGGCAAATAAAAACCTGACAAAGTACAACACGCTTTTTGTAAAATGTAATGGCAGTGTAATTGACATGAAAGATTTACTGATTAGGCCTACTCTTTGCTAACAGCACAAAGCTCAGAACTTACTTTCCAACACCTGGTTTGAGCTCTTTCAAGTCATCGGCAGTAATTGGCCTGCAGAGAAAGATATATTGCTAGAAAAACAAAACAAATGAGGCAACAAAAAATTAATAAAAGACGACTATTCCGAAAGAGCTTATACTCAAGTGCAATTCACTTGGTAAGAATCGAAGCATCTATACATATCAACTTCACCAGTTCCTGAGACAAGTGACACTAAAAAGAATTAACGAGGGATGGATATGCCCTTGAAAAAGTCACTATCAAAATTAGTATAGTACATCCAGAACTGTCACTCAAGATCACAGAATTATAGACAGGTGGCCACTATGGGCAGTTTGAGTTAAGGTCACTTGGTGAAAATGAATTCTACTTCTTTTTCTTCTCAACAGCATCATACTTGAATTCCAGTATCTGTCATAAATTGGGCCGTCCTGCTCAATATATCTGTCGGCCCGTAAAGCTTCTCCTGTAGTGTCAGTGGGGTTGGCCACCTTTCCTGTCTCAGGGCCCTGATCAGTGTCCTGCAGTACTGAAGGATGTGTTCAACAGTTTGGTTAGCCTATCCATACTGGCATTTTGGTGATTGTACTAGTTTAAAACATCTGTACATATGTTGTCTCAGTCTTGTGTGTAGTGTTCTTAGTCCGAAGATAATCACTTGTTCTTGGCGGGACAGCTTATGGTAGCTATCTGGTGTCTGTGGAGCTTTAAATAGTGTATTTATAATAGTTTTTATTTCTGTGTAGTGGACGCTGTTGTCTGGTTGCTCTTTCTGTGCTAGTTTGGCCATCCTGTCAGTCAGTCCATTTCCTAAGACACCAAAGTGCGATGGAATCCACTGCAGCATGATCCTCAGACATGGGATTCCTCAATTACTTCTCGCAGCCTTGGTAGTTTGCCGGCAGTGATTGCCTGCAGTACTGGCATGACATCTGTTAAGAATACTACTTGGCTTAGGGGGTCTACCACATCCCTGATGATGATTGATGCATGTATTAGAGCCTCCCCTGTAGTTTGTACAATGCTGCCCTGTTGGGACTGCCTCTATGAACCACCAACATCAACACATCAGCTAAAATAGATGACTGGCCACCACCAAAATATTTCATTTCCATAAAAACTGTTGTCACTATCATAAAAGCTTTTTTAAAAAATCTGCTGCCAACCTGGAATAGTTGTCATCACTAAATAAAACAACACAAGAGAAAAGAAGCAAAAATATTTTTAAAAAACACCAAAAAAATACCCTGACCCAGACAACCAATGGTCACTACTGTAAAAAAGACAACACACTGCCTGTCATATGACTGTTCGATCTTTGCTGATGACAGCAAAAGTATGCAATTTACTGGCTGTCGTATAAAGTGTAGGCTATGGTAGTGTGCTCATTCGACTGGACACACACATGTCATTGGGGTAACTGCTGCACTGAGCCCCCCATCCCCCCGTTTAACTCTTTCTCTGCCCATTACCGATATATCGGCCGCACCATTTCCGCCCATTACCAATACATCGGCACAGGCTATACTCAAACTTTATTTAATTCGTAAATACTTGATCCATAATTTTAAATTTTGATATAAACAAATCTCAAAAGTAGAAACTTCCTGCTACGAAATATAGTGTCTATACATACAAAGTGATGTGTTTGTGAAACCAAAACAGGAAAGATGATCACACCCATGTTCAGGGGCGAAGGCTGACTTGTTTGACAGGGTAATCAAAGTGAAACGGGACCAGATAGGCCTATGGCTATCACACAAGAATCTTACTCGAGGCGGCGACTCTGACTGAGTTGTGAATGAAAACAAATCTGGAATTCATATTGTATGTTCAACCGCCAAAATAATCGGGAAAGTATCTTATTAAATATCAGTTCCAACTAAAATTAAATTTAACTTTAGATGTGAATACATAAACACAAAGCAAAGAAGCAGAGATGTCAGTACTAGATCTATATGTTATAGATCTACCAGTGAGTCTACCTCTTTGGTAGAACATGACAATTATCATTTTTTAAATTTCACATTTGGCTGTTTTTGTTAGCCTTTCGCGGCCAGGAGCTGGTGTCATAATCGAGGTCACGATCTGATTATAGGACGGTAAAAAGTCGAGGAAAAAAAACGAGCATATGCAGCAGTCAAGAGATTATGAGGAGTTAGTTCCCCTCACATCTGTGAGGTAGACTCGACCAGTGTTAGTTAGCTTACATAATTAGGGCTTGTGATTGATTATAACTGTGGCCCCAAAGGGGTGAACAGGGTATATGTGGCAATGAAACAGCTTTGACTTCTATGCACATGTTCCCTTCAACTCTATTGGTAGACTCTTCCAGCCTCACTTTAAGCTTACTTAATCAAAGCTTGCGACTGCTTATGGAGTGGCCCGAGAGGGGTGAGGAGGCTATTTCTGTGGCCGTGAAACCGTTTTGAATGTTAGGCATACTCATTGTTGATTACGAACGTCTTTTTACATTTAATTTAAGAGGTTTACGTTTAAGGATGAATTTGACAGCGACAATGTTACAAAATTAGGAAGGGAAGCAGTGATTATTGGATTATATAGACGCTTCGCCCCTGCCCATGTCTAATTCTAGCTATGTTTTCTGGGCCAGGTAATAAACGACCCTATAGGCATATAACTTGTAAAACAGACTAGGGAATTTTTCTTTAGTAAACTTGAGGACAGAGATGATATTGTCTTAGAATCCTTAATTTAGCTTTAGATTCTGATTCAGCCGATGATTGAATCGAGAGTGAAAAGCGTGAAAGACATAATTCGTAGATCTAAATCTACAGTGACAGCAAAGAGGACAGATGGAGATAGGGAAGAGAGTGAATATGCTTGGAAATGAAAGGGAAATTAGAAAGCCAAGAGAAGTGAAAATCAAGAGGATAATGACCGAGATCTAGGTCTAAAATCTAAATCTAGACTTCGACAAGCAAGTGCAACTCGGGCAAATTCTGATTCATTGCAACTGTTGGTATTGTCACAGTGATGTTACAAAATGGATCATAAAATCATCTAGAATTGCACAATTCCATATCTTTTTGCATGAACATGCAGGGAATTGAATGTAACATTCATTTTATGAATGTAGGAATCTTTTTTTTAAAATACAAATGTTATTATTTATATTCAAAGTCGGAAATTTAGTCTGTCTTTTTATTAGCTCCCATGTGATGGGCCTGTTCTCTAACAAGTACCCATAACGTCCTTTGCCTAATCAAATATTTTTTTACACATTTAAATGCTACGTTTTTTTACCTTTCAAAATATGTATGACACTACCTACTTATTATTTCATTTTACTCATGAAAATCCTTCCCAAACATACACACCTATCATTCACGATCAGATGCACACAGAAAATCTGTGAAAGCTGGTATAAAAATGGGCAGAGAATGAGTTAAAAGGTAGTGCCTAGTCAGACCATCAGCTCAGCTGAATCTCTGCATTGACTGAACATACACACTCTGTCTCAGGACGGGTTGGCAGAAATTTTTGTAGCAAGTGGCTGCTGTGGGCAGGTTTTGAGGTTAACTTGTCGCAAAAATGGCTGACCATGGCCATATTGGACAGGTTCACTATGGACAGGTTAAAAGTATAGGAAAAATGCAAGGGTGCCATGGAACCATGGCCATTAGTACAGGTAACAGCTATGGAAAAGTGACCACTAAAGCAGGTTCAACTGTATCAAAAGAATCACAAAAGGTATATAAATTGAACCTCATAGAAACAGAGGAGGTAGGGGAGGGTTTAAACATGTGTTAGGGAGTGATGTGCTGACTTTTTTAGTAATTTCTTGTAGAGCGCCAGCGGAAAGTGTAAATCAATGATGATGAAGTTGTAGATGGCCAGGCCACACAGAATGCCAATCATACGGAACTTGTTGGCCTCTTCAAACTTCTGAAAAGACAAGAAATTTCAACACGCATTCAATGAGCTATGAATCAAATAAAGCTCAGTACAAAGTGCTTAATATAATTTCTTCAAACTATATCAGCTATGATATGACAGGCCAAAAAAATAAACAAAATAAACTACCAGCTTTGATTTGTGTTATGGTCAGAAACGATCTCAAAATATATAAAAACATAACTTATTGAAATGACAAACAACAAGTCATGAATAATATAATGCTCAGAAATTAACAATTTTTAAACGAATCTTACAGTCACTGAAAGAGAAAAAGAAAATTTATAGCAAGTGAAATAGTCCTAAGTCCCCTCCAGTTACCAACAGAAGAGACACCAACGCTAATACAAAGTAGAATGTCATGATATGACTAAAATAAAAAGTACAATAATATGTTCTAATTTTACTTCAGTGTTCTTTTGAAGAATGAATTTGATCTTCGAACTACTATTCTGATCCTTACCAACAATAAAACCTCCTATGAGAATTCATATTTCCGAGAACAGAACTTAACATCATACAAAAAGAAAAAAAAGCCTTCTCACAACAAAGTTTTGAGTTTTTTCAAAACAGAAAGTGTGTTAAGTATTGTGCTCTTTAATTAAAATTTAACTTTTTACCTAATATACAGATTTATATAATGATGGACTCATTTTTATTATGATATCCACATGTATTTTGCAATACTCACAGATGGATTGAACCATTGTAAATAGGAATCCTCATCCACATTGAACATGTCGTACTCCGGATCCATCACTTCTTTAAGGAGGAGCAAGAAGAATTCCTTAACAAAGACCAGTAAAACACAAATTAAACATAGTGGATCTTGAAAATGTATTAACCATGACATCAATCTTTAGAGATACAAAACAAATGTCATTGACATTGTTGAGCACATGAAGAAAAGGAATCTACCTACATCAACTGAGGATTTCCCATCTTCTTGTAAACAACTACAACACCTGCCAATAAAACAGGATACGAAGAGTTTGCTTTTGTTTTTATCTCAAAGCCCTCCAACTTGATTAAAGCATTCATGTCAAACAAATGTAACGGATTAGAATAAACAATGTTTTCATCAGACTTTTCGTATTTGTCACAAGTTTAACATATACCACACTGTTGTCCTGAAATTGTCATTCTAAAGCCAAAACTCAGGAACTTAATGCTGCAATCAGCAGTTATTTCAGCTGTCTCTCTAACACAGTACTGCCCTGAAATTTCAATGCCATAGGTGTACATGTTAACAAACTGATCCCTACTTACTAATGCAGCATTTCTGAACAGTAGCAAATCCCCTGAACACACACATTAGAACTTACCTTTCGCACTCCACCATCATCCACAGCTTCCTCTCCTTTAAACACCACCTGAAAATAGAAAAAAAAAGGAAAAAAAAGATTTAAAAGAGTTTCCACTTAGCAAAAGAGCTAAAACCAATACAACCTAGACCGCAGTGAGGGGACTGTAAAACTAGAAAAGTCACAGTGCTATGGGATTACGATGTCCATTTTTGACAAAAAGTGGTTTTGTTTAATAGACTTGCATTAAAGAGAGCTGAATAGATTTACAAAATAGACCAACCCTGTACTCTGGGAAAATTGTGCCACAAGAGCTAAGTCTGGAAAAAAATTTCTACTAAAAGAGGGACACAGTCACGTATTTCCAATTTTGAACAGAGCAAAAAGCAAGACACATATATATACAAGTACAAAACAGTAACAATATTTAGAAGTCATTTGAGGTAAGAATTGGGTTTGTTCTGTATTCATGACAAGGAGTCCATCCGCAATATATCGTTGGCCACCTGATGAAATCGTGAATTCCACACAAAGCAAATTTTACAAGAGAAGGAAAAACTGATTTCCTCCTTCATTTGGCGTTCAAGACATAAACTAAATGGATAAATCTAGTCTTAAAATAATACTGTAATACATTTTTTTTCTGTAGATTGTCATTTTTTCGAAAAACTGTGGGATTCACGATTTTCATATTCGAATCTCGCCTGATGCGGTTGTGAATTCCACACAGGTGTGGAATTCACGATTTCATCAGTAGGCTTTATGAAACGCGATGTTGTATTCACGGTTATAGGCAGTGTGTTTTCTCTTATTAGAGTCCCTGGTATGTTTAAAAATATGTGAAAGCACAGAATACTGTTATACAAAAGATTTTAAAAGTCCAACTTAAAACTGAGTATGAAATTACACACTGAGTGAAACAGAAAGCAATTCATTACTTTACCACTATAAACATCTATCTTTCTACCACTATAAACATCTATCTTTCTACGTGAATGGGATATTGTATGTAATTTATGAAATCACACTCCTCCATTTGCCTGCTCTCTCTCTCTCTATTTTTCTTTTTCCAGTTGTGCGTAAGTGTATGGGTTTTTTTTATTGGGCTGAGGGGGGTGGGGTGGATTGTTTTTAAGAACTTGATTTGTATCAAACTTCTATACCCCTTGAATGACTGAATGATCGTTTTTCATTATCTTACATTTTTGTTTCTCAGATCCTGAAAATTACTCTTTGCGATTTTAAAATGAAAATGATAGAGTGGTGGGAAACTGTTTGTTGAATTTTCCTTGTCTCTTGGCTTTAGAAGACTCTCCCACTCTTCGTTAGAGTTCAGTTTGCAAAGGATTTCTCCTTAGATATATCGGAGGCTTCATATTGCATTAACAGTTTTGTCTTCTTTTTGTCTACCCGACCTGACAGTTTTGTGGACTGCAATTTTGACAAAATCACGGGGGACTCATAAGTAATAGATGGCATCATACGAGGTTGCATTGAAGATTATGAGCATGCTTTTGAAACAAGAGCTGGAGGAATTGATAGACAGTGCCAAAAGTACATCCTGAAGATTCATGCAAATCATTTCAATGTCTTCTTGGCCAAGAGTAAAGGTTCTATCCATGGCGTGCCCTTTCTTTGTCCTTTTCTTTTCTGCCATGTGAGATTCCCACTTTGTCTGGCTGACGTTGTCTAGACTCAAAACTCACACACAATTCACATTGATCTTTTTTGGCTCATAGATCGATATGTTCTTCTCATCTAGCACATATGTAAGTTGTCTGACATACAAGGCAGATTGTCCCTGACCTGTGCAGGCTGTTTCATAAAACCAATGAAGCTCCGACAGATTACAGAATCTGGGATCAAAATACAGATTTTCAAAGCTTTGCTGGGGAAACTGCGAAAGGAAACCTTCGGAAGCATGTCCACAGATGTGAACAGAAACTCCTTGGCTTGCACGACCCTTGTGGATTGTTTGGTGGTGCAGCAGGGTTGGGCTCTGCAAAAGCACTCTTTACAAAGTACTGGAGGATCCAGGTTGTCATCAACAAGTGTTTGAGGAAGTTCCGTAGGATCAGATGGACAAACAGAGTTACCAATGAGGAAGTATTAAGCAGAAAATATTCAGTCAGAAGAAAGCAGTGGAGAGGGATTGGACTGAGCATCATCATCATCCAGTGCCTTGCCGACTGGCGAGGGCGATCATGGACCTCCACTTCACTCAGTCTAGCGTAGCAGCAATGGAGTCTGTTGTTGTTGCTGCTCCTAGCCATGTTGTCATCTTGTTCACTATCTTTTCCCTCTGTCAGTAGTGTCAGCCTCTGCCTCTCTTTCCATCAAACTTGCCTGTTGTTAAAATATTCTCCAATGTTTTTTTCCGCATACCATCTGGAAATCAAACAGCTACATAACAAAGAAAGTTTTAACTTGGAGTCCTCAAGTTTAACGATCAAGGGAAGGTCATGTGGTACCTGTAGAAAAGTCACAGAGAATGATGAACAGAAAAACGGAAAGACATTTTAAAAATAAAAAGAAGAAGTTAGCCCAGGGTAGGGAATAGTGTAAAGTGTTTGTCCGTACGGGGTGAGCCAGGCGATGATGAAACTGGCCTGAGCTCTTCTAGAGCAAATGAGCCCAGTCATAGATATCAGCATCCTGCAAACTTTGATCTTTTGGTCACTCCGTTTCAGATAATAAACCCAAGTGCGCGTCTTTCAGCTTGGTGTATTGCATTTGCTTACATTGTACTCTTTCGTGGTGAGAAGACCCTTTACATAGGTCTCTCTCTCTCTCTCTCTCTCTCTCTCTCTCTCTCTCTCTCTCTCTCTCTCTCTCTCTCTCTCTCTCTCTCTCTCTCAGGTTAAAAAATAACACCTTTGATCAGCCCCAACACATCGTGTACTTTGAAAGACACGTTTTTTTTCTTCTATTATTTCCGTGCTGGGCTTTCTGCAGCTTTCTTTGATGTCCAAAGTGGTTTCATCAGGTGACTTTTGGGGCACGGTGTTTATTCACGATTTTCTTATTACGTCAGATTACATGTTTGCGTTGAGATAATTTAAAAATAGTTTTACAGGGACATGTATCTCACCAAAAACTATCAAAATATGCAAAAAAAACGATTTTAGAAAATTTGTGGAATTCACGGTTTTATCATGCGACCGATGATATATAGATTACAAAATGACAACTCACCTTGAGGGGTTTCTTGAGGTCGGCACTGTGCTTACTCTGCAGCTGTAGCAGGGTGTCTTGGACCAGGTTGTTCCGATCCACAAACAAAACCAGGAACATGTTTTCGGGGTCAAACAGAGGTAGAAGCATGCTCATGTCCCTTGACGTCTGGAACAGGTGCTCGACGACCCAACGGTTCTGTCGCTGAACACTCTCAACGGCGTTCTGAGGGTGACAGTTTGTTTCAGTTAAGAACAGAAAGAAAGTAAACACGATTCTTGTTGTATCCTTTAGCAAATTGAGTTTACACAAGTGTATAGACCAACTGTGATAACTACCGTATTTGTGAGCTGTTTTGTACTTTCATAAAAAAACATGCTGTACTAGAGAGAAAAATTTCAACACAGTGGGCATTTTGTGACTCATATTGACACAGACTGACCGGCGTCTGTGGTGTAACAGTTAACCTTTTCACCACTTCTTCTTCTGGGGTCAACACTTTGTCAACCCTTGAACGTCAACAACTAAGGAAGTTTTTCTCCAGAGTGTCAGGTGAAAACCGTTCTCCGAGTCGTTTCCAACTCTGTGCTCAAGAACAAGTGTGTGTGGAATATGTGTGTTTCTCCCAGCTCTTGCTAGTGTGTTAATATACTAGTAATGTTGAAAAAAACGAGAAGAAAGAATAGAGGTGGGCGACGAAAACAAAGGACAATCCCTGTGGTGTTTAGTGTTTATGATTTAGAAAATTCATGCATCAGCAGCAGACTGGAAAACAAAATTAACTTTAATAATTTGGGCAAAATCGACTGTCGAAACTTTTTGCAAGAAGTAATACAAAATGTCCGAGTAGCTTGCCTTAACACCAGGTCATGCCGTAATAAAGCGGGCGAATTAAATGATTTAATCATTGGAATGAACCACTAGGCTACCGACACCACCTGAATATGTATGCAAAAGCAAAAACAGTCACATTCAACCATTTACTGGACAGACAACTCACCCTCTTTTGCAGAGAGGCATCTGTCTGAAGCAGGACACTTTTGGCCGCTCCATCAAACAGGAATGGGTAGTTGCAGAAGTGGAAACCCTGAAACATCAAAGCATAAAGCATAAAAAAGTGTAACATAAGGAATAGAAGAACATTGAATTAGAAACAATAATGTGCTTTTAAAAAAAACAAAATGAAATCAAAATGCATAGAACAGAAATAAATAAGCATTAAATATCAAAGTAAAAAAATATCTCTAATCAAAGATAAAACTGTTGACGGAACATGCAAAAAATATTTTCAAAACAAATTTATTCAAAATATAATAGGTCCAATCAGCAGCTAGGCTATGAACTCCGAAAAAAAAATGATACTGGAAATGAGAAATCAGACAAAGCAGACCATCAAATTGCTTCTTTGACCAAGGCCACTTCTGACAGATACATAATCACTAATCAGGGAGGCTTCACTGCTCATGGGACATTTCATTAGTCAGCTCACAGGTAACCATGCCAGCTTCTGCTGGGCAGATCTTAGCACACACACTGACAAGCCTGACTTCCCTACCAGACCAAATCCTGCATGCCCAAATAGAGAAGAAGTGTCAACCAAGCTTAACTACAACAAAGGTAGAAAACACTCATTGCAATCTGCAAGAAAAGAAAACTATGACACTCAAGAAATTATGTAAAGCTAAATCCAGAAAACTCCAGACAGCAAGAGGAATACATCTATTCTTAATTCTCTCAGTGCCAATCACCTATAAATCCTTGACATACAGAGTCATGTTTTGTGCTAAACCATGGTCTATTAAATATAGGGTAATCTATCCTTTATTCCTTTTATTTTTTTAACGGGAACTATTTACAACAACTCTCATTTACACATTTTTGTTGGAACACAAGAGTCAGTTTTGATTTCAGGGAAGAAACAAGTCCAGACACTGGCCTCTCCCAACCTCATATTCAATATGAAACATACTGGCCTTGCACAAACTATTTGACAATGAAAGAGTTAATTAAGCGAACAAGCGATGAAACAGGAAGGCGAAAAATCTATCGATTCTTTTAATCCAAAATAGTTGTAGACATTGACTTTTCTATCTACTTATTATAAATTAATGAGCTATAGGCGTAATTGCAAAAAAGAAAATGTTACACTTCCTAAAACCTTGACGTGAGCCAAATCACTATAAAGAAAATACATCTTGAATTTGTCAGCTGCAGAAACATCAGAGCCTACACTTATTAAACATTATGCGACTGCATCAAAGCATTATTATTACTGCACTGTACATACAACATCTAAGAATTTCTTCCGAACAAGAAAGCCACAACTTAGAGATACTAAAGGGGAACATTTCAGTCCGGAATTATGACCTTCGGAGAAAGGAAAACTATAAGAAAGTTGATGAGGCCACAACTGCGCACGGCTAGGGAACATTTGTAGAGAGAACATCCCTTTAAAGCAGAAGCAATTTTGAACAAATATACTTCAAAAAATCAAATTCTGCACACATAAATGTGAATAAGCTGACGACACTTATGTCATTGTAGGTACAGAAAAAGAGTAGCTTGCAATAAGTTTTACTTTTAAAAAACAACTCATTGAAAAAAAAATTCCAAAGGTTGTGTTAATTCAAGATGAATGGATCCATCTTCCTCTAGAACAAAAATGGGGGAAGATGGGAAGAGTTCATGGCCTCGGACACTGCAGCGCACTTAAGAGTTAGTAATGAATGAATATATGCAAAGACTAAAAAAAGTGTGCCGAAAAATGACTGCAGAAAATGTGCAAACCAAACATTGCGAGCTCAATCAAAGCCTGGACAGCAAAACCCCCCCACCTGAGTGCGACGTTGCGTGTGCTGCACCCATCTGATGTAGTCCTCTTTGATGTTCACTCGCTCTTTCAACTCGGGCACATAGAACTTGTGGTACGGGATGATCTGGTGATTTTCTTCATTAACCTGAACAGAGAGGGACAAGTCAGATTGATAATAATTCATGTAATTTGATTTGAGTATAAGAGAAGCCAGTAACAAATTCCGTCATTGAGTGTTGGGAAAAAGCAAAATATTGCTGACAAAAGCCACAAAGAGACAGCAAAGAAGTAGGACTTATAGATGGTTCTATCAGTCTGCCCTTTTAAAAAAAAAAAAATTCTAGCTCATTTAATACTTTGCCAACACACATAAAACTTTGCAAGAGGTCAGGTAGGCCAGTGACTAAACAAAAACAACTTTTTAACGTTTTCGCATTATGCAGCTTTCACGGTGCACATTCCCTAAGAGCGCCATTATTTTATGTGCACTGTTCCCTGGAAACTCGCAATTTTAGGGTATTTTCAAAGAAATATATCTCAACGGTTTTAAATCATAGACGTTTGTATTTGGTGTCAAAATAAAGTTCAAATCTTTGTCAAAACAAACACAATTTTTAGGATCACATGCACTTTCTTTGACAAAAGTCGTCAACTGTACAAAAGAATGTATGAGGCTGAAAAAAGGAAAAGTTTTCAAAACAAATTTTACACCCCAATATACACACTTAAGAGTTCAATAGTGTCTCTTCAATGATCTTAATGCCTGTTCAGACAGGCGTGATCCATGATAAATATAATTCTACTCAATTTATCAGAAAATTCAACCTAACGAGTGAAAAATGTGCTGTTGTGAGCAGCTGTATGAACAGCTCAGTATACTCAAGGATCGGTTGAGTCAGCAGCTTCTTTCAGTTCAGAGTTGAGTGCACACCTAAAAACAGCCAGGAAAGAATGCGACTTTGCAGTTGGAGCCCTAGTGCAATATCATTTTCTTTCGGCATTTTCTGTTCACTGTACTGCTGACATCCCAGCTCTGCACGCCTTTCATGTGCACATTTCCTACTGCCGCCTAAAGGTTCTGTATCCGTGGTGTTGTTTTCAGCTTACTGACACTCTTTGAGAGCGTGCTTCTCTCATAGTCAGGAATGTTACAGACTAATAGTGCCAGATTTACTGGGCCCCATGACTACATCCACCAGATTGAGGGCCAGTTTCTTGACAACATTGGCCGTCTGTTCCTGCTGGGTGTTTTCTCAAGAATAAGTCTAGATGTTACCAAGTGGTTCCAACACTTCATCAACTTTCGACTGAAGGAAAATGCGGGTTCTCATAGTCTAGAAGTAAGGTGTTCGCCTCTCATTCTGTAGGTCCCAGGTTTGAAACCTGGCAGATAGGGAAAATGTTCTTCTCTGAAAAAAAAGTTATCTTTTCACCTTCTTTCCTGTTCTCTGATCATGTTCTTACGTCTAATTTTGTCTTCTCTTTCTGCCTTATCCCCACTCTACCCCTTTGCCTCCTCTTCTGGACTCTTCCTGCTGACTTTCTACAGCTTCTCCTTGGCTCCTTTTTACTGCTGACTTTCAGCCACACCCATGATCGCAGGGTACTTACTTACTTACTACCCATTACGCCATCGGGCGTTTAGGGCAGCAACAAAGGATCTCCAGCTCTGTCTGTTTTGGGCCATCTTGGTCAACGTCCCCCACGAATGGTTCCAGGACTTCATTTTAGACTCTGCGTCTCCGGGTCACTTTGGGTCTGCCCCTCTTTTGATGTCCTTTGGGTATCCAGTGGAGTGCAGTCTTTACAATAGTCTGGTTCTCTTCTCAGAACAAGGCCAATCCATTTCCATCTTCTCCTTTTTATCACGGTGGTCATATCCTCATGATCGCAGGGTAGGTAAGATCTAACATCTAGTCTTCTTGGATAAGGATGAAAAAATCTCGGGAGTCACATGTGCAGGTTGTGCCCATTAAAGATCCATTGGTGATCCTAAAATTAATAAGAGTAGGCTGCGACCGCTTCCTGGGTGAGATTCATAATTAATTCCTACAAAACTGAAATTGTATCCTGTGTGCCCATGACCTTGTGCAGCTGCCAGCGCTGTAAGTCATTTACCAAAAAAAAAAGGCAAAAGGAAACGTATGAAATTTGTTCACCTGAATTATCTACGCCGGACATGTTTTGATTAAGTCAATAACAAAAAAGTGTTTCTCCTCTCTTCAAAACCTACCTTATGTTCCTTGAAGTTCCAGCATTTGAAAAGTTGAAAGAGAAACATTTTCTCTCTCTCTGTCTCTCTCTCTCTCCCTCTTAACCTCTCTCTCTCTCTCCCTCTTTTCCTCTTTCTCTCTCTCCCTCTCCCCCTCTCTCTCTCTCTCTCTCTCTCTCTGTCTCTCTCTCTCTCTCTCTCTCTCTCTCTCTCTCTCTCTCTCTCTCTCTCTCTCTGTGGGCTTGTCAATCCCGTTTTTTCCTGCATGTTCCTGACATCTGTGCTTTCTTTGGTATAGCTTCTCGCTAACCATTCAATCAAACGTAAGCCCCATGAAGATCTTCAAACCACAGCAAAGAAAGGGAATCGGGAATGGTCATATTACTAAACAAGTCTGGTCTTGAAATTACCATTTTGCAAAGATTAGTGTAGGAGAGAAGAAATGGGAACAGAACAAAAAAATATTGAAGAACAAACAGTGCAACTGAGTTTACTGGAAAGCCTTCAGTGCTATAGTCTGATTCAAAGGAATGTTATAGGTGGCACCCCAAAGCCTCTACTCAGGGTACAATAAGTTCTTTTCAATTCGGAAGGGAACCAGTAATAATGGAGTTTAATTGCAATATCAAACAGGTCAAGTTTTGGAGAAAAAGAGCCTTCTTGCGTAGCCCATTTTGGGCACCTGTACTTGTCCCAATGATAGTTCCACTTTCAAAACTCACTAAATAAGGCAATTCACAGAGAAAGCAAAACTGTCTAATTCTCTTTAGTCTAGGAGGGAAACAATTTCTGTTAAGTTTCTGCGGCCAATTAGAAAGCGAGCCATTTTGTGTGTTTGTCGTATAAAACAAATTACAGCCGAGCCCGTAGGCCTCTTCAGCTTTTCGTTTCTTTCCCTTAAGATGGCATAAGCAGATTCAAGTTTTGATTTCATAGCAAAAAAAGTATGCGAATAAATACCATTTCATGTTTATGATGCCATTATACACTCAACCACTGAGCTGTTTGTAGCATTGAGCAGTATGTTGAGGGAGTCCTGAGTCAAAACACCTGCACCTATTCAACAGCAGGGTTGATTTATACACTTCCAACACTTTCTAAGATTCCGCTTTCCTAGAGCCTTCAAACTTAAAACATTCCAAAGTGGTTCTTTATTTTGTTTTGTTTTGTTTAGTTTTTATTTAACTAAGGGAAGCAACTAATTACCTCGCGGAGAACATCAGCAAAGCTAAAATTTTCAGATCAGGAAAAACTAGAATCTCCTGGGGGGGGGGGATTCTACCTGATTTGGTAGAATTTTGCGAGTGAGAGATCAATATGGGGCCGCTGACCCTTTTTAAGAGTGGCATCATCAAACTTACAGTTACACTTACGGGTAAACGCTGATTCGTCTTTTGACACAGTACATCACTAGATAACAGAGACGTACCCTTCTTTTCTCTCACAAACTTCACTTAGTTTGAATCCTTCATTGGCGGCTTTATCCTTCAGATAAACCTTGGATCGGGAACGGCCCTTGAAATACACCATGGTTTCTTCAAAACAAAGTCCTGTTATGGTTTTCACAAGTTTAAAAACAAAGTTCTTTGGTAGATTTGTGATAAATTAAATGGCTTCATCTTTTAAAAGTCCTCATAAAACTCTCCGTAGTGCACTGCTGCTATGTAGTTTGACATATGAAACGAGAAGAGAGAACTGTCAAGAACCCTTTTCTTTACGTGAGAGCAAGCCTGGGCTTCAAGGTCAGTGGTTGCAGAGAGTCAGTATCTTGACCATACCCATGTGAAAGAAAACACATAACAAAGAATCATTCCATTTTTACACGATTACCTGGTTTCCTGGCATCCTGGTTTTGCAACGTAAACTACTTGCCAAGGTTTGCCGATCCTTGCCATGGGTCCCTTTCCCATCTTATCGTTTTGTATTAGTTTTATAAAAGTTTATCAATGTCTTTGTTATGACCAGCCAGAAAATATCTAATGCAAACGGTTGTTTGGGTTGTGAGACTTTGATTCTACCGAATACCAGTAAACTGAGAAACGCGGGGAAAGTTGTTTGTGTTTCAAGCCGACAGCATTTTATATTCTAATCCCTCTACTTATTCTCGTTCATTTTGTTGTCTTTCCATACTCTCCTTTACAGCTCTACAGCATATCCATCGCCATACCGTAATTTCAACAACCGGTCAATTCTATCGTCCATCCTCTCATCATCAGTGTCTATGCATTCTAAATCTCACGTATACTCAATTCACTACTGGTTACTTCTTCGGCAAAATTTAACGGATATGCAGTATCGTCTACCGGCATAGCAACCTCATCCTTTCAAAATCATCTTCATCATCGGTCCTTTCTAAGGATATAGAATCTCATGACTCCTTTGAGAGTGACTCTTCTCAGCATCGGTCTAAGCGCCATAACTTTCAGCATATACATGTAAAGCGTCTCGGGAAAGCTCTCAAAAGTGACCTCAGAAATTCGCCTGTAAATCAAAAAGTGTTCAAGCAACTCAACTTCTGACAGCAAGAAGAAATTCCAAAATGGTATCTGAATACTTTTTTTTTTATTTTGAAAGTAAAAATCAAAAAAGCAAACGTTTTGTTACATGCACAAGTACGTGAATCCAGGGTGGCGACCAGCGTCGTGAAAGGTTGTGAAATAGCGCGCGCCACGTGGAGCGCCATGAAGCAAAAAGGTTAAAAACCGCCCTTTAGGTGCATACACTGGATCACTAAAATATATAATTTACAATAACCTGGCCAAAAAATTGCTCGTTTTAGAGACAGCAACACTACTCTGCCCCACACATTTCAGTGTAAGCTTGTAGATTTTTTTTCCCCAAGACTGTCTTGGCATTTCCACATGAGTCTTTAAAATACTCTCACCCATCTGTTGGACTGTTTCATACGCATGTGTGATAAAAAAAGGGTAAACTTTTTTAGGTTTTGATGTATGCTGCTATTATTTTTTAGACCTGCTTTTGGGTAACATCAAAGAAAATAAGAAAATATGTCAGAACATTATAATTTTTGCTGTATATGCCTATTATTGAATACATGGACAGTATAAATTCATTACAGCTCTCAAAAAAAATGTTTATAATATTAAATAAACAGAACACAAAACAAAAACAATAAACTTTGAGAAGACAAGAACATACAAACAAGTATTCACAACACAACAACTTACGGCATTCAGCTTCTGCAACATTTCCATGCATGAAAACAGCCCACTTTTCCTCCTGCTAACCTGTGAGGATTGAGAATTCTGCTATTACAGCTAGTGATTATGTTTATATCTATTCACTAACCAAATAAATCCGATGTGCACTGTAAATCCTTCATAGACAAGGGCCATCCAAGAATTAACAGGAAAATGGTTATATTTAAATAAACTAATACTTTTTTAAATTCTATCACAAATTTTAGTAGCTTAGTTCAAAAAAATTCTCACCCGGGTGCAGTATTACAATGAACAAAATGAATGCAATCCTTTTACTACCCCACAACAAAAATGACAGTCAATATATTGTAATTCGGTTTCTTCACACACTTGGGAAAAAACCCACTGAAATTCAGGCAGAAATAAAAAATACTTTCAGGAATAATTTTTTTTAAACGTAAAAGGTCTACCAAGGGCACCATTTATTTAAAAGAGGGGAATACAAATTTACAGGATGAGCAAGTAAGAGGCTGTCATCTGTCTGCTAACAGAGCAAAAATGCTGAAAGCATTGAAAAACTCATTTGTGATAATAGGAGGTTCTGAATTGCTGATGCCCTAAAACTTTCTGAGTCATCAGTTCACAGAATTATCTTATAATGAGCTGGGATACAGATAATTGTCAGCTCAGTGGATTCGAAAACACTTGGCAGATGACCAAAAGGCACAGCACATTAATGTTTTCAGAGCATTGTTGGAACGATGCTGGCAAAATGCACATGACAACACGTGGCCTGGGCTGACTGGTGACTTCCAAGAGCCTAATGAAGTTTTGGATTACAGTCCTGATCTTGTCTCTTCAGACTTCCATTTGTTTGGACCAGCTCAAAAATATATATCTGAGAAGAAACTCACTGATGACACAAACCTTGTAGTACATCAGAAATTGGCTTTGGTCACACAAAGCAAAATTCTACAGGGAAAGTATACATTTACTCATGCAGGGATGGCAAAATACTTGACTGTTCATGGAGACTACATTGAGAAATACAGAGATGAGAATGTTTAGCCAACTAACTCATATAACTGTGTCAGTTGCATCTCACTGATGACTTTTCAATTTATACCTATTTTCTTGTTAATTCTGGGACATCCCTCATAGTACTCAGAACACAGTGCACACTTGGCTCAACGTAATTTACTCATTCCATAACTGTTCTCGTGAAGACAATGTCAAAAAAATACCAAGGCATCAATAAACAGTTACAGCAGACATACTTTTTAGCCTGAAGAGCATGAGTTTCACACAGATGTTTCTGTAAAAGTAAATAAATGACTGGGGTTTTTACCATTATAAATTACAAAGAAAAATTCCTAAATTACACATGCCAGACTTCTACTAACCCTAATACTAGAACAAACAAGTACATGTTTCGATAACAATATTATGGCCAGAAAAATATGGGTCCCAACAAATGTTTACCTCTTCTATTCACTCAAATGTTCACACAAAGTGTAAGTATTTTTTTGTAAATGCTAAAGAGCACTTAAGTCCCCATCATCAACTTCAAAAGCAGCACTCACCTCTAATGGATCAGTTGTGTCTGGCAACTGAAGCAAATATTCTAAACAACCTTTATAAATCTGAGAATGAAATAGTAACATAAAGACGACAGATTATAATGCAATAAAATGGCACAGGTGTTAAGAATATAAGAAGAAAGAACAAACAAAACAAAAATCTCTCACTCATGCGCCTTTAACCATAAGCAATCATCTTCTTTCACATACTTAAACACAAATCCTTTTGAAAAAAAATAAATTGAACATAACAAATTATAAAGTGTCACTGCCACTAAAGTTAACCTCCAATCAAGTTTGAAAAGTTGTGTTTACCAAATAGTTCATACCAACCATTACATTACACTTTTCTGTTAAAAAAGCCAGTGGGAAACCACTGATGCATTACAACACAATGAACATAAAGTTACAACAATTATATTATTATTTAAACTGTTGCTCAAAGGGCCAAGAATTCAAGGTGGGTCAACAAGACATTATTTCAAGGCAAGTCAGATAGAGTTGCCACACTTCTACTCCAAGCAGGGAAGAATACCACTATCACTTTTTTTTTAACTCACTGACTACTGGCCCCTTTCACCAGTCACAAGCGCTGAGTACTGGCATTTTGGGGGTATTTCAAAACACCACAACTCTCAGAATTACCCTATTCTATTGTAATTATTTTTTGACACAGTAAATTTACATTTAAACTTAATCTAATACAAAAAAATTAAGTTATCTAGGTCTAATACTTAAATTCTTATGATTGTTTCAAAACTGGCATGAATTAGATTTTTTGAAAAATTTCCAGAGACATGACAGATAGTAGGCTATGAAGTTCACAACAACAACAAAAATTAAAGTTCAAAGTGTTCTGTTTTGATTTGCATCCATGTGTGAGTGTTTGGTGAAAATATAAAAGCTGGTCTGCGTTTATTCAGACCCATACACTGAATTACACGAGACAGATGTAGGGAACGAAGCTGTGATTTCATTGCGCGAACAACAACACCAGTACTAGTGCTACTGCTAGATCTAGATCTAGCCCTAAAACTACGACTCTGGCCGTGTTCGGGTACATATCCAGGGTCCTAACAATCAGACCCATCATATCCTGAGTCACTAGAACAACAAAACGAACAGAAGTATCGAAAACAGCGAAATGATGTGATTCTTGTTCATGCGACGTTACTTCGACGTGACTGTCAGATTACTATCAGCTGTATAGAAAAAACAAAGCGAGAGTTCTGGTCAGGTCAACCCCAGATGAAGTGACTGTCCTTCACCTTCAAATACTTAAACAATTACAACAAAACTTGCCAAACTCGGCACGAAACGAAACAAGTGGCAAAACTAGCACTGGAGTCCGTTCCCATACATGTGACGGGAGCACAAGATACGGAATAAAATCGCCAAGTCCACCCCATCGGGGGTACAGGATCCGTACCTGCGAACCGGCTGCCCGCCCCATACCAGTGACGGGAACCGCAGTCAGTGAGTTAAAGCAGGATAACCAGACCTTACAAAAACACCCACCATCTACCCACTGATGCTCCTAAAATGTCAAGGTTTCTCTGCACTTTCACAGATTGCATGATAAAATGTATACTTACAACTACAAGTCTGTTAAAGAAAGACGGCTGGTTTGACTGCCACCATGAATCTGTAAGAAGATAACACAGAGCACCTGAATGACATTGACCAAACAACGTGAACTGAAATATAAATTAAACAAATAAATTGTTATTTCTAACAAAATGATGAGAAAGTTAATGATTCCAGGAAAAGAGCACACCACTTTGGTAGAGACACTCACCCTTTAAAAAATATTATACATAATAAAAAAAAAAAAGCCCACTAATGTACACTAAAATCCATTCAATGGGTTCCTCACAAAATGAAAGTAAGGTCATCAGCTGCAGCTGAATACTTAATGCAGCCACTACTCTTCTAATATTACTCTATGCTTTCTGCTTCATTTTCAAACTGACTTCAGCACCTTGTGACTTCAGGTAAAACATAATAGACAGTATCATATAGTAATCACACTATCCTGGGGTAACAATTATAATTTCAGTGCTTCTAGAGAACAAATCATCAGAATTCTAAAGGAAATGGTAGAAGGAAAAGCAGAATACTGACCATTTCTTATAAGCTAAAAAGTGGCATGAAGGCTAGCCAAACTGCCAATTATAAACCTTACACAAGACTTTTTGAGCGACAGGATCCATGGACAGAAAGGCATTGGCGAATGGACAGATGATAGATCTGTACAGCTTGGGCTGGTCAAAAAAGTGGCACTCAGGCAGCATTATGTACAAACGAAGGGCCTCTACATCTGGTGGACTCTTTGCCAGCGTGGGAATCAGATCCTGCTCAATGCTGGTGCAAATCTGTGGAAAGCAATGTATAATACTATAATAATAAATAGCATCTGTGTAGTGCATCAAACTATTCAACAGCAAGTTCTATCACCTCAGTAGATCACAGAACACTGAGAAAGATTCTCAGTTTCCCCAGAAACAATACAGTGCATGCAGTCAATTTAGTGTGTGAACACTAACAAATTGACTAGATTATCCACACATACCAACTACGAAGGTTTGTTAGACAAATTTGACTGCCTTTTTCTATTGTTGTTGGAAACTAAAATAACCCTCACTTAGTCATGATCTTATATTTCCATTCAATATATTGGTCCAAATAAGATAAGATTCATCTTTATTGTCCAGATCCTGGCACATTGGTTTGGTGTTTCACAACGTGTACACACACACACACACAC